AGAGTCTTTCCCTCTCTCTCTGCTGCTCCCCTGTTTGTGCTCCCTCAGTCTCTCTCAAAATAAATAAATAAACTTGAAAATACAGATTTGAAGTTGTCCATAACTTTCTTAAATGTATATAATGAGGCCATTATAATGGAAATCAAAATCCACATTGAAGGAAGGGCGAATGAATGGATACAATATCTAAGATAATGTACTTATTGAAGTCAAGCATCAGAATTAACCCTGAGCTTCCTGGCAGCCAAAACAAAGAAAAGTGGGGGTGGGGGGCTGGGAGGGGGCGGGTGGTGAGAGGGAAGCAGCACAGAACTGGTGAACCCTGGAGCAAAGTGTAGCTTGTTGCTCATGGACTTGGGGAACTCTAAACCCTCATCAGACCCACTCAGGAGATTCTTGGTTTGCACCAAGCTCTGTCCTGGGCCCCTTACTCAAGATAATCCCCTCACCCTTGCTTCTCCATAGCCACAATCCTTGTGCAGCATGCCCGCCTCCCTCTCCTGGCTCTGTGCCTTTGGTGAGTGTTCCCAGGGTCCCTTCCAGGTCTTAAGTCTCTTAATTCCAGAGAAAGTACTGTTTTATTTGTTTGTTTGTTCTCGTTCTCTTTCTCTTTATGTAGTTCCACTTGAAAACCTTTCTATTCCAGAGATTAACAGAAATCCCCACCTGTCAATTTAATGTTTCTGCTCCCTGCCTAAGAGGCATGAAATCACAGCCTGCCACCAATATTAAAGGTCATTTTCCATGAACTTATAGATGGTGAGGTCCAGATAACTTGTGACTTAAAACATATGGTCCCCTGTTAGATCAGTCTCTGGACCATCAGAGGTCGGTCTGGGTAATAAGGAGGATAGGCCTGGTCATTAGGCGGGAGACAGTGATGTCTGGTAAGCTAACCTGATGCAGTGGCCCTTGACTTCTGGAGCCCCTGGCAAGCCTTTCCTGGGAGAGAAGATGCTCTCTAAATGAGCATCTTCTCAGGAAAAGGCAGCTGCTTCCGAAATGCACATAGCTCCTGTAAGCCCATCTTGCTTAAAACTGTATTTACTTTCATGTTCTCCTGTCTTAATTACCTTTTTTCTTTACTGGCGTCCTTATTCATTATTTAAAACAACTTTCAAAAATAATTATGCAATAATTCCTTCCTCCATGCACCGTAGCTCTTTACTTTCCTGTATCAGGTTTTCGGCCCTTTATTCATTTGTATCTGTAGTGACAACATTGCTGTCATCAGAGTCTAGATATTGTGGGCCAAGTGTGTGATGACAGTATTCAGCAGTTCCTAAGCAAGGTCTAGAATTCCCTTTGGGGCATCGTTCACAGTGGCCAGGACTTGTTTAGAAAGCCCACATTATACGGTTTGCTCAACACATAAACAATCTTGTATTTTACTTTTTAACTTAGCATAATTTCATGCATGCTTTTCCATGTAGCTACATAATCTTCAGATTTATCATTTTAATGGCTGCTTAATATTCCATCCAGTTAGCGTGCCATAATTTACTTAACTGTTCCCAATTGTTGCAGCCTTAATGAAAATTTGAATTCACCATGTACTACAGGGGGAAGCTGGTTTTAATGATTACCATTATAACAGCCCCTGCCCTAACTGCATGCCATTAGTAACCCAGCTTTAGGAAGGCGCAGATGCTTTTGGAACAATAAATTCTGTAGGAGAGGTGTATGCACAAGTCCCTCTGATTTAATAGCTAATCTGTTCACTGCACATGTTTTCCTTTTATGCTGGTGTTTATGTAGAATATCTACCTCTTCTGCATATTGTGTAACACTAAACTACATGCATTTGGCATATTGCTCCCGATACTTTATCACTGCTGTCAGGAACTTCCATAAATTAACAAGAATTTGGGAGTAAGGAGTGGTTTCTGGCTGTCGATTGTCGTTCATTTATCCCACCCACACTCTTTGAAGATCTGCTTGCAGCCAGGCTCTGTCAGGGAGAGAGCAAAGGCACTTCCGATTATTGGAAGCCCACAAATGGGCCTCTGTGAATTGCTTTGTGGTGCCCAAGAGTAAATGGTGATTCTCATGTGAAGTGCTTTGTAAACCGTACAGTGCATTAAATGGTTGCTGGTCTTGCTGATAAAGTAGAGTGAAGAGGAAGGTGGTTTTCCTGGGTCAGTGTCCATCAGCTGTATCCCCAGTGTCCTCAGACCTCGGAAATTTCCAAGGACAGGAGGCTAGACTGCACTTCTCAGAACCAGCAAGAGTGATGATGATGACCCCACAGAACAGATTAGATAGTCTGGTAGGTTCAGTGAGTTTCAGAGTTGTCTATAGTGCCTTACAGTTGGTGTTCACTTTAAAGTGACCAAATCCTACCTTTCTTTCCTTTTTTTTTTTTTTTTTTAAGTTTATTTATTTTGAGAGAGAGCATGAGCAAGGGAGGGGCAAAGAGAAAGGGAGAGAGAGAATCCCAAGCAGGCTCCATGCTGTCAGCACAGAGCCCAACCCAGGGCTCGCTCAAGCTCATGAACTGTGAGATCATGACCTGAGCTGAAAGAGTGGATGCTTAACCAGCTAAGCCACCCAGGTGCCCCTGAGTCCTACCTTTTATAGCTCTTCTCTTTTCCTCTTCCTCCCCCATAAAAAGAAAAACATCATCCCTAAAACTAATAAAACGATCCCAGTTTACTCATGGGACCCAGTAAAGCCATATTTTGCCAAAGTACAGGACATCTTTTCAGAGAGGACAGGATTTTCAGGGCCCTGAGAAGGTGAGAAGGTTTTTCCATTTTCTTCCTCTCTCCTTGTAAAAAGAGAAAGTGTTTTCCAAAGAAAGTATCTCTGCGCACTGCCTACACCCCCACCGGCTCTCCAGCTCAGGTCCCTTTCCAGCAGAGAGAAAGCAAGCCTTGGGCCAGTACCTACCTACTTGGTTTTGTTCTCATTCATTCTTTTTATGTGTATCAACTGTTTCTAGTAAAGGATAATGACTTAAGGATAGTGATGTAAAATTTTTGTAATGAATTTACTAACTCTAAAAAGTGAGGCAGCATAAATAAAAATGGAAAGTAAGAACCCAGGCGGTACCTGCAAACAACAGAATCAACAGCAGTTGGTGTGTGTGTGACTTAATGAAGTCTGGGAAACACTACCGTAATGTTATTTAACGTCAACGCTAACGGCACTGGCGCCGCATCAGCTGGCTTCTGTCGTATCAGGGCATGTGCACACGGAGTTTTGCCATCCCCACGAGCTGGCCCTGGACCATGAAGCCCAGCCTAAAAACAAGCTTTTGCTTAGAAAGGCTGACATCACCATGTGTTTTGTCCACTGCTCTTCAAGGCACATAAGTCCCGTGGGTTTCTACTGTGTCTTTATGCCATCGGAACTCCGATTTGGAGAATGCCTCCAGAGTCCTTTTCAACAGCTCACTCTCAACGATCCTCACCCCTTTTATATCAAGCCTTACCTCTCCCCTCTCATCTCCTTGGACCCAGTGTTCCAGCAAAAGTGGACAGTGAATAGACCAATTCAGCCTTAAATGGAAAGGAAATTCTAACACACACACTACCACGTGGAAGAACCTTATAAACATTATGCTAAGTGAAATAAGCCCGTCACAGATGGGGACAAGTACCATATGACTCCTCTTGTAGGGAAGTATGTAGGGTAGGAGAGTGGTGTCTCCCAGGGGACAGGGAAGGGGAAGTGGGGAGTTCGTGTTTAACTGGGACAGAGTTTCAGTTTGGGAAGATGAAAAAGTCCTGGAGATAGATGGCGGTGATGGTCGCACAATGGTGTGGATGTACTTAATGCCACTGAACTGTACCATAAAAATGGTTAAAATGGCAAAGTTATGTTATGTGTGTCTTTTACCACGTGAAACAGAAAGGCAGTGAGCGGTCTTCTCCAGCCACACTGCCTTGCCTCAACGTGGTCCGACCGCAGGGAACGCTGACCCTCCTGTTTTCACTTCCCTTGTCATTCTCCCCCCCTGCCTCGCCCCTCACAGGCCCTGCACTGAGCCCTTTGCTACAGAGAATTATGGTGATTTAGATGCGTATGTCTACCTCTTCTGGAAACAATGGGCTTCCTGAGAACAGCCTCTCGAGCAAACCCTCCCTTCCCTGTGTCCCATGCAGGCCCTTCACACAGGGGGGTCTAGGATCAAAGCAGGTGAAGTGTCACTGTTTGGCTCAGAAGCACCTGATTCTGGCATCCTAGCATCCATCTTCGAGCCACCACCGGCCTCTCAGAAATGAGCAGCTGACATGGATGCCCCTGTCTGGGGCCTGATCTAAACAGGCAGTCACCCCTCAGCCCACAGAGGGCCAGGCCTTGGCCTCCCTTCCAGAAGATTCGGAGCACCCCCACCGCCCCACTTATTCAGAAGTAAAGCTGGGGGCGTCTGGGTGGCTCAGTCAATTAAGCGTCCAGCTCTTGATTTCAGCTCAGATCATGATCTTGTGGTCCCTGAGTTCGAACCCCACGTGAGGGCTTGTGATTCTCTCCCTCTCCCTCTCTCTCTGCCTTTGCCTCACTCACACACACTCGCCTGCTCTTTCTCTCTCTCTCTCAAAAATAAAGGAGTGAAGCTAGATGTCTGCTCTCAAGTCCCTCGGATGTGCTAGTGTGTTAGACTAGTCCTAGTGGGGAGGCCTTCTACTCATCTGTAAAGTGAGGGGGTGAGGGCTCTTTGTGATATCAGAACACACCTGGAACATCATGTGCACATCTGGGCCTGTCCTCACAGACTACAGTGCACAACCAGATGGCCACAGTGAGCCTTCTGGTTCCGTCATTAGGTCCAAGAGCCTGAGATCTTTGTAAGGAAACTTTGCCCTGTCAGAGCAGAGACACTGCGTTCAAGGGATGGGGAGGAACAGGTAAGCGCAGTAACAGGCCTGTTGCTGTGCAGTCCTCACCTCCTTGGCTGGGACTGAATTCCCGTGGGTGTCACCTGACAGATCCCAGATGAGGAAGTAAGTTCCGCACATCCATTACATCCCTGCCTCCTTCCTTGTTGCTTGCAGAATTTCAGAGGCAAGAAAGTGTCCGGTCCCAGCACAAAGGCATCCAGTTATATGACACCCCTTATGAACCTGAGGGCCAAAGTGTCGACTCGGACTCAGAGAGCACGGTCAGCCCCCGACTACGGGAGAGCAAGCTGCCCCAGGACGACGACAGGCCCGCCGACGAGTACGACCAGCCATGGGAGTGGAACCGGGTCACCATCCCAGCTCTGGCAGGTAAGGAGCCGGTGGCCCCGCTCAGAGGGCGCTGCTGACCCACGCTCAGTAGTCGCCTTTGGTAAAGAGGGTACATGCACTGGTCCCTTTTGCTCAGGTAAACCCACAGGGCTTCGTTTGATGGTCCGGCTGGGCCCCTCAAAGATGATGAGGGTCCTAGAGAGAAGGGAGGCCAGGTCAGGCCAAAGGGAAATCCTAAGTCTGGCCTCCAGGCCCTCCTTTCCAGTCTTTCCTAGTCTTCACAGACGGCTCCGATGATTTCATTGTCTGACTGTGTTGGTAGTGCTCTAGTTCACTGAAGCCAAGATTTCAGAAGGAATTTTCTTATAAACTAAAAGAAAACCAACTGCAAAGCGGTTCCCACTGAGCCTGAGGGAGCCCAGTGCTTCTGTCTATTTGTGTGGATGTGATAGGCCTGGTATACCTAGGGCCACCACGTTTCCTGTTCCAGCTTTGGCATGAAGCCCTGGCTGAGAATGTCAGGTGCCCCCCATCTGCCTCACTCTGAGACTGGTTCTCTAGAATCTGGGTATCTGTCACAGCACTAAAACTCCTCTCCCACAGCCTTTTGGAAAGCTGCCTGCTACATGTGTCACAGGTCTTAAGTTTATGTGCTCACCCTCTGATTCTAATCCCAGCCTATTGGATCCATGCCAGGGTTATGATCTAAAATTCAGAAAAGGCATTGTTTATGATCATGAAAGGTGGGAAACAACCTGAATGTCCAGCAAACAGGGATTGATTCAGTGGAATATTGTACAGGCGCTAGCAAGTGATATTGACAAAGAGTTTATAACAACACAGGAAAAATGCTTATGTTTAATGTTAAGAGGTGGAAAGCCAGATGCAAAAGATTTCTTATGCATCTAAGAGTTTAGGCATATGAAAAAAGGGACATTGAATGACTCATTTAATTCTTGCCACACTGAAGGTCAAAAGGCGGGGGGGG